TTAACAGCTTCACTAAACCTAAGTATGCATCCCTAAACAACAGTTTGTTTTGACCTAGTTTTGAAGTGTATTTGTATAGAATGCTATAGTAGGTTTTCTTTCTGGGCTCTCTCATTCACAACTATGTTTCTGAGATGCATCCATGTTGTTGGGGTTAGAGGTGGTCTGTTCATTTTCATTGCCATATAGCATTTCTTTGTGTAAATATATACAACTTAACCAGTCTACGAGTACGTTGCGTGAATATGACACTTGGATTGTTTCAAACTAGTGGCTCATAATGCTGCTATAAACATTTTTGTACATGTTTTCAGGTGCACAGGGACCTACATTTGTTGGCTATAAATGTAGAAATGGAATTTCTAGTCATAATGCATGCAAATCTTTATCTTTACTAGGTAAGGCCAAACTTTTGTTTACAAAATATTTAGTATTGGTATTGTCAGTCTTTTAATTCAGCAATTCCTGTGGGTTTGTAGCTCTCTCTCATTGTGGTTTTAATATGCATTTCTCTCATTACTGAGGCTGAGCACCTTTTCACGCTTATCAGCCAATTGGATTACTCCTTTTGGGAAGTGTCTGCTCGTGCCTTTTATACATTCTTCCATTGAGATGTCTTTTTCTTACTGATTTGTACAAATTTGTATATATGCTTGAGATACAGACTAACTTTTCACCTGATGTATTTCCATATTATTTGAATTTTAATAAGTACGCCTATAAATTTAGCAGTTTTACTTTCTCCCTACCCGATTTAAATCTGAAATATTAATCACAGAATGTTACACACATATGCACACATGTATGTATTTATATTCTATATATTTAGAAATCTTAACAATTATATGAAGTTCCTTTATTCACAGTCCCTTTTGATGCAACTGTAAGTTTTACCCGTTTCTTTGCACATTGCTTCTTATAGCCAAACCTTCCTCTTTCTTAGATTTGTTTTCCATTTTACTGGGAGTACTTCAAGTAATTTTCTCAAAAAAGGTGTGTGTCATAAACTTTCGGAGTTCTCATTTACTTTGACCCCCATTTAAACATTAGTGAAGCTGGGTACGTTCTGTCTTCAAAATAATTTTCCCTCAGAACACTGAGGCAAACCAGGTTGCAGGGGAAAAAATCCAATACCAGTGTGATTCTTAGTCCTGAGTCTTTCTATGTAACCTGTTTTTTCATCGCTGGGATTATAAATTCAGTAATATATAGATAGATGCTTTTTGTTTTTTTCATTTCCCAGCTTTGTCCTTAATGGGCTCTTTATACTTGAAAACTGAAAGTCGTTCCTCAATATAGGGAAATATTATTTTCTGCCTTCTGTTCTCTCTCCTTCTGTGACTCTATAAAATAGATACCGGATCACTTAGATGGATTGTCAAAGTATAATTTTACTTATGTACTTTCATCTTTGGCCTTCTTGCTTTATGGTCTGTATATTTACCTTATTTTCATAAAAATTAGTCTTCAGTCTATTATTTAAGCCTCCAACTGCATTTTTATTTCGGCAATCAAGTCTTCAATATAGAACTAATTTTTTTTTTTTTTAAGATTTTTATTGGGGAACTAGGGGATGGGAACAGCGCTGGGGAATTGGGGGAAGGGGGACAAGTTGCTGTCCTTTTTTTGAGAACTAATTATTTATCATTCATTTTTCTCCACAGCAGTTGGTTTTTTATTTATGGATCCAATTCCCTCTTGACTCTGAGGAAGCCTCCTATGGTCAGAGCTTCCTAAAGTTCCATTCTGACCTCGCATCACCTCTGTGTCCACCACAGCCAGCTGTTTTATTTGTTCAGCTTGGTCATCCTCTTTCAGGTCTAGTTTCCCTCAAATATCCGGTGGGCCTTGATCACCTGTTCATATTAATAAATGCAGGACTATATTGATTAGAAATGGTAAGAGATATAGATTTCCTCAACAGATGTGTTTCTGTCTCCAAACCCCCAAATGGGAGGTCTGTCTGATTGTGGGTCTTTGTAGGTAAGCGGTACACTGACAGACAGGTTTCTCTTTAGAAGTGANGCCTGTTTCTCTCTCAGCAACCAATGTAAGTCGTCTGTCACAGGCATAGGCTAACGCTGACTCTGCGGAGGTTATTCATATAAGGTAGGCACTGACTTCAGAACCCACGTTTTCTTCCTTCACCCAAAGAGCAGAAAAAGAGAAACCAGAACACTGCAAATATATGCCTTTCTAATTTCATGTAATTGTGTTCCTGGTCTGAAGTTTTGTTCACTGAAGCCTTAATTCTTATGTATTTGAACTGCTGGTCTTCATGTGACTACATCTACTCTTCAAGACAAAAAAAACATAATTTCTCCAATCATTTCATCAATATTTTATTTTTTGCCAGATTTTAAAATTTTTCTCCTTTTTATTAAATTAATTTCACTATAAATATGACATAGTCATTGACTAAATCAAGATGGTTGGCTGAGTACACTGAGAGCAAGCTCCCCTTCCCCCAAAGACCCACAAATATCACAAATGGCATTTTTGTAATATAAACCCATAATAAAAAAAAAAAGCAAGAAATGTCCTTAGTGGACGAAAACTATGAGGAATCCCTGAAAGATGAGAAGCTGATAGAATCAGTTTAAAGGTGGAAGCCAAGATCCTATATGCCTGGAGCAGAGGGCTATTATTGCAAGTGGTCCAAGCAGCCTTCAGAGTAAACCAAGTCCAGAGGTAGAAGACAGTAGGAAGAACGGAAACAATTTACAGAATTCACAGCATAACTGGTTGGAGGGGAGCCCAAAAGTTACAAAGCAGGTCAACCTCTCCTACCCATTTTCCTCTATGGGTTTCAAACATAGAGGTATTTGCTGCCAGGTGGGAACAGTGGCATCAAACAAGAAAGGTGTCACTCCCCAGAGAAAAACAATGAGTATAAACACTTGGATGAGAGAGACAGGGCAGATCCCTGGGTGGATGTTAATCCCCAAGCAGAAGTGGGGACACTCGCATTAAAGAAGACTGGTAACTGGTGCACTCCATCTCACTGCACATTCCATCTCTACCTACAAGCGGTGGAGACCTGCTCCAATAAACAGTCTACCATTCACAGGAAGGCTAACTAACCAGGACTCAAATAAAGATGAATGAGCACAAAACCAAGACTCACACATGAAAGAGGAATTCGTGTGACAAGCAGAACTCACACCCAAAGAAAAGTTAAACTAAATAGAATAAAACCTTTGATCAAGTACAATTAAGATCCTCAGAGAGATGCAAGACAACACTTATTAAAAACGAAATCTACTGGAATTCTTGGAAATTAAATTTTTATCACTGAACTAAAAAACCTAATTAAGGACTGAAAAAAAATACAGTTAAAGAGCAAATTAAATTAGTAATCTGAAAGATGGAGCCAAGAAATTCACCAGAATACAGAAGGAAAAAGAAGTGGAAAACATTTTTAAAAGATAAACATGAAAGAGAACCGAGCAAGCGCTATCAAAATTGCAACTACCTTTCTTGTAGAAATGGACAAGCCAGTTCTAAACTTCATATGGAAATACAAGGAACCCAGACAGTCAAAACAATATTGAAAAAGAACTAAATTAGAAGACTCACACTTCCTGATTTCAAAACTTACTACAAAGATCTAGTGTTCGTAACAATGTAATACTAGCACGAGGATGGACATTTATATATCAGTGGAATAGAACTGACAGTCCGCAAATAAACTCATATACCTATGGTCAATTTATTACCTTTGACAGGGATGCAATGGGGAAAAAAACAGTCTTTTCAACAGATAGTCCTGGGACAACTGGGTATACTTTTAAACCTAGAATTCTGTACCTACTCAAACGCTCACTCACGTGTGAGAGTAGAATCAGGACGTTGTGAACGCACAAGGACACAAAAAGTTTGCTTCCCTCAGACTTCTGGTGAAGGAATTGCTCAAAGATATATATCTAGAACAACAAAAAAATTAATCCAAGAATAATAAACATGGTACAAGAAAAGAGTATAAGCAGAGAAACCAGTTAAGCCTTTAAATTTAAGTAAGTACTGATTGGAAAAAAAAAACCAAACACACCTAACGTTCAAAACAACAATCTCAGATGATATCAACAGAAATCACCGTGAAAGTAAGAAGAGGGGTTGGGAGAAGGAAAAGCTGATGAGTGATAAAGTCCTTGTCTTGGTCAGAAGAATGATACAGAAAGTGATTAANTTTCTGTCTCCAAACCCCCAAATGGGAGGTCTGTCTGATTGTGGGTCTTTGTAGGTAAGCGGTACACTGACAGACAGGTTTCTCTTTAGAAGTGAGGAAAAAGCAGTTCTGCCTTACTATCGCCAAAACCAGGGAGGCTGCATTTTGCCGGTACGGTCCTTTATTGCACATCCACCCTTGAAGGAGCTCCCTTTCTTTTCCTCCCCCATCCCGCCCCCTCACCCACTCTATTGTGGAGGTCCATTACCTAAAGCTCCACTTTGTGCTCACGTGCACTCTCCAATCCCAGGCCATGAGAACATCACTTGTTCTACCCTCTCTAGAGCAAACCCCCTACTTTGCTCAAAGAGCTGTTCTCATAGCTCTATCCTGGGAACTAAGGCCATGGCCAGAGCTCTTTATATGAAAGGAGGAAGAGGAGGAGGAAGGAAGGAAGGAAATAACTGCTTTGGGGGACAGTCCCTTAGGTTTTCCCTGCCGTTCCTTCTTCCCCCAAGCTGCTCCTCCCCTCTACACTTGCTGGCTCTAGGCTTAGAGCTTCAGAAAAGGAGCCCCACTAAGAAATTCTCTTGACTTACAGCACACAGCAGGCGCACCTATGTGGGGTGGCATTTTTATTCTGTTCTGGTTTCTCAATTACTATAATTCCAACTGCTTTCTATTACCCTGAAATTCCTCCAATTTTCTGGTATAATAGCAATAATAAGAATGATAGCAGCTAGCATTAATTGGCTAAATGTACAACATGGACTAAATGTAAAAACTCTTCTAAGAGCTTTGCTTTTCTCTCTCTTGATCCTCACAACCTTAGGAGGCAGATACTATTATCATCATCCTAATTATACAGATGAGGAAATTGAGGCCAAAAAAAGAAGGAACTTGCCCAAAGTCACACAGCTGGTAAATGGCAGAGCCTGGATTCAGACCTAGGTAATCTGGTTTCAAAGCCTCCCTTTTCCATATTTCAATACAATTATGATTTATTCTTTTTTTCCGTATGTCTATGTTGTCATTTTCAGTGATGTCTGAGAAGTCTGGAAAAGTGCGTGTGTGAGGGCCATCATTTTGTCATGAAAACTCGCTGTTTTCGCTACACCAGTATTGTTTTCACACCACACAATTTTAATTGGTAGAAACGTCTTTTAGAGAAGATGCAGAGTCTAGCAAAGGAATCTAGTGGCAGAAAACAAGCCCTATGCAACTGTGCTCAATCAGCATCAATGGAGATAACGTGTAGGATTCCTAAAATGAGAGGCTTGAAAGTGGGAATTTCAGAAGCATGAATGAGTTTTTTTTTAATCTAAAGAAACACTAAACAACAGCATTTTCATGTTCTTAGCAGCTCATTAGTTTACTGTCACCACCACCAGAGAGAAGCCGAGAACGTCCTAAAATTTTAGCTCCATCCTATTCCCTGACAGTGGCCTTATAAATAATTCAGTTCAACTCACACACATATGACATACCTACTACATGCACTGTGCTACAAACTGGAGATAAAGAAATAAAAGCACTGTCCCTGCCCTTACAGAGCTTACAGTCTACGGCAGCCACAAACAAGTCAACACACGGCTATAATTCAGTGTGATAAGTGCGATGATACAGGCAGGGACACAGAGGTGCCATCAGAACACAGAGATGGGCTTTCCAAGGAGGTTTCCCTGCAAATAACTCTTAGAATGAGTGTTCAAGAATACACGATTATTAGTTTGGGGAGATTAAACTGCATTTGTCATCTTTCCCCTCAATCTGCTCCTCCACCCATCTATGTAACACCTGGTGATGAGCACAATGGTCCACACAGAAAGCTGGGAGCTTTCTTGTCTTTTCCCTCCTTCTCTTTAATTAGTCATCAAATCTCATCGAATCGCGCTTCCTCATATTTCAAATCAATTCCCTACTCTCTATTCCTACTACAACTGCCTTAGTTGCAGCTTCCGTCATTTCTCAACTTGATAACTGTAATAACCTCGTATCTGGTCTTTCAATTAAATCTCTTCACTAATTAAAAAAAAAAAACTCAAAAACCCAACAGATCCTGAAAACTTTCCTTGGGTGGCACCCCATTTGATCTGGGCCCTCTCCAGGTTCTTCTCTCCACACTCATTCCCGCTAAACTGAACTTCCTATAGTTCTCTGAAAGACCATGCTGTTTTGCCTAATTGCCTTTACTCAGTGTGTTGGTCCCTGTGGTTTGAGATGTTCCAACCCTCCCCCACCCCCCTTGCTAACACCCACTTAGCCTTTAAAAGCACATTTCTGAAAAGTCATCCTGATGGCCACTCCTCTCTCTCCGTCTTCCCCGCGAGCTTCTATATGCTCCCATACCACTCTACTTCATCAGGACACTTATCACAAAGAATTACACTCAAATTATTCTGTCGCTGTTTCTTTACCTGGTTCTCTAGTATCTAGATCACTGAGCTAGCAACAGTGCCTGTTACTTAGGAGGCAATCAAGAAATGCTGAAAGAATGAAAGAATGAACGAACGAACCAACGGACGAACGAAGATAATTAAGTCTGTGAGGGCTGATGGGGTAACCAAAGGAGATAATGGAGAGGACAGAACACTGAAGCAATATCCACCTTTAGTGGGGAGAAGAAAGAAGCTAGTGAAGAAAACAGAATGAACAATCAAAGAAGTAGGAAGAAAACATCTAGGATTGTACAGTAAAGTAACCCAAAAGAAGAGAAAAATTTCAGAAGATGCAGGTGGTCAACAGCATCAAACACTACAACAGGTCAAAGGTGAGAGCTAAGACAAGGTCACACTGATTTAGAGGTGGTCGCTGGTGACCTTGATGTTACTAGTGCTGCATTTGTTCACTGCCGCCTCACTTTTCTCAGCACTGTCAGAAACCATCTTCTTCAGCCGTTGTTTAAGGCAATTTAGGGCTTACAAAATAACCAAAGGTATAAAACTTACCTGTGCTAATCTCTTTTTTTCCATGATGAAAAATTGAAAAACAGAGAATAGACAAAAGAAAATTAAATCCTACCATCCAGATATAACATTATTTCACTATTTCCTTTGTTTTTTGTTTTTATTTGTATAAAACTGGTATTATATTGAGTTGTATATCCTAATTAAATAATTTCTTAATTGTACTTAAATTTAGTCAGCCCATTAGCTTTCTCATTGTAAATCAATAAATTAACATTCTAATTTATAAACAGAAAAAGGAAGAGGTTATAGAATTAAATGTGCCTGTTTGGCCACGTGTGCACAATGGTTTTTGGTCACATAAAATTAAAACTATCTCTTAATTTGCATCAATAATTATTTATTGCTGTTAAAAGGTAGATTTTATTCTTTTCATGCTCTGCAGCTTGGCTGCTAAAAATAGCTTAGGTACTAGATAGATATAGAAACATATATAGCAGCTGCAAGATTTTATCCTAGTCTTTTTTTTTTTAATCTCTTCAGGCAAAATTAGATGCACTGGCTTATTAATAAATTAATAGTCTAAATGACAACATTAAGCATGTCTGTCTGATAATTTGTTATATCTAGAAATAGTGTGAACCAGAGTTTTCAACCCTCTTGTGAGGTTTTCCTTTTTCAGGATGGAGTACACTCTTGTGGAAAAAATAAAAAATAGAACGAATGCAACATTTCTAAAACTAAGAATTACAAGGTCAAAGGATGTGAACATTTTTAAGGCTTTTGATACATATTGCCAAATTGAATCCAAAAAGGCTGTGTTAAATTTACACTTCCTTCAATATGTGAGCTTCATTCATTTCCCCATAACCTTGCCAATACTAGGTATTATTTTTTTAATTTTTGCAAATCTAATAGGTGAAAATGTCTTATTATCATGTCTATAAAATAGGGAAAATAAATATTTGTTCATATTTAACTTTCTTTTTTATGAATTGATAAATATTCTTTTACCTACTCATAGCCTTTTAGTATTCTTTTAGTGGGTATTTGCTTTTAAACTATTGATTTATAAGAGCTCTTTATATATTCATGCTATTAACCACTTGTTACAAATATTTCCCCCTTATATCTTCTTTTATGGTTTTTTACAGAGGTTTTTAATTTTATACAGTCATATAAATTAATCTTTATTTCTTCCTTAGAATCATATTTAGAACGTTCTTTCCCACACCCACATTTTATAAATTATTCAAAGTTCTTTTTAATATGGTTATAGTGCAATAATAGTGGTATCGTGAGATGATTTATTTCTACCATCTAACGCACATTAAGTGATTCTAATTCCCTTAAACTTAAAATTACAATTCCAACAGCGGTCAGTGTGAAGCACAGGCTGAAAATTAAGTTTTAGACTCTTCTTACTCCAATTTTAGCTGTTTAGACAACCTTTAAAAACCAGAGTTTTGAGTTTAGAAAAATCATTCCAAGTTCCCTTGAACCCATATGAAGCACAGATCTCTTTCTAGTTATCACCCACCTCTCAAAAACCTGTTAGGGATCCTTATGATGGGACAGGACTGAATGAAGCGTCTCCTAACTGGGTCCCATCGTATTTTCTTCTTACCTGTTACCACAATTATCAGCAATAAGTCAGACACATACAACACATGGCAAATAATACATAGTTACTGTAGTTCTAAAGACAGAAAAACAGGAAACAAAACAATACTTGAATACAGAAAGAAGTGATGTAAAGTAGCATTTAACCCTGTTTTGGGAGTCAAAACAAAATTAAATTAACATATAAGCAGTGATGAAGGTTTTCAACTCATCCCCAAAAGAATACAAACAATTGTGTGCACCATTTTTTGGAAACCTGGGTCAATATAACATGCATTCAATAATCACCAATGCCATCTTGTGGCAAAAATCCACCATGAGCTTTACAAACATTTAGAAACTAAGACATTTTAAGTCAGTGAAGGTCAAAATAAAGCTGTGATTAAAATTAATTGGCATAATGTAGGCACCCGCTCTCTTCCAGGTTTGGTATCCTTTTATAAGTTATACGGTTAAGAGGATAAAGCAATGGGCACACCATTCTTTAAATATGAAATAATATCTTGGCACTTCATTGGCCTGGGGTTAGAAGGTGGGGAGTTCATCTGCCTTCCCAGGAAGCGAATTAGCTCCATATTAACCCCAATTAAAACTTGCTTTCTTATAAAATAGAAGAAAAATGTGAAGCATTATACAACTGTTAAATGGGGCTAATTTTGTTTCTTCCCAAAGTTTTTATAGCTCTTCTTGGCAATAAAAACAATGAACATTTGTATAGAGTTTAAAGTTTATGTAGAGCTTTCACACATATTACCTCAGTTGATCCTGACAACAATCCTGTATGGATTCAACAGCCATTGCATTAAGCATCTGCTATGCCTTGAGCCCTAGGCTAGGCTCTAGGACAGTGAAAGAAAGCTGTGACTACTACCCTCAAGAGTTCATGTCTCGTGTGGAAGGCAGATGTCTAAACAAATAATTACACGACAGCGAAGTAACTGTTATAACGGGTATAAAAACACTTTGAGGAAGATATAAGTAAGTGACAATGCCAGGGTCAGGATTCAAGCCCAGGCCATCTGAATCTAAAACCTGCCTTTTTTCCACTACATCACACTTACCCTGTCTCAAATTCCTTAGAAAGCATATAGCTTTTGGTTTTGGCAAATGGAAATATATTTCCATGTTCATCAGCAAGGTTTGGTTTGTTGACTGTAGTGCTTGTACAGATAAATTCTGTGTAATTAAAAAATGGCATTACCTGCACATGTGTACTTAATATTGTGAAGATGACAGACTCGTGGGCAAGTGGAAGAACTATTTATTTTGCAGAAGCGTTTATCTTTTAAATCAGTAGTGCCCACATGTTGGTCTACAGACCGCTGCTAGGCTAAGGTAAAGATTTACTAGTCCAACACAAAATGAGAAAAATATGGACAAGGCAGTAAGTTTTTTAAAAGCCAAAACGTTCCATTTAAAAAAGCCTGTCCTTTTTTCAGAGGTTAGAAACTTTTGTTGTTACACATTCTTTATTTTATGAGATGAAGGTGGTAGGAAATGGCAGTTGGGTTTTTTTAATATTCTTTCTTAGAAAAACAGAACCATTTGCAAACCTATGTGTATCCCCAAAATACGTGTATTTTTTATTTTACAGGTTTATGCTATCCAAAAGCCTGTAAACCAATACAGCTTTAAACCAATTCAATATTTGTTGATGACTCATAAGTCCAACATGGTAAACCACACATGTCAAAAGGATACATAAGATGTATAAGAAACTTCCCTTGCCCTCAAGAAGCTTATATTCTAATT